TGAGCGGAAGTGCTCAGGGACAGTGCCCAGGCCTTGAGTTCAAACCTCCTTGAATACTAGTGGTACTATAACTCGGTTCAGTGCTAGCCTTGAGCAGAAGTGCTCAGGGACAGTGCCCAGGCCTTGAGTTCAAATCTTGAATACCAACTGGGACAAGCCATCCCAGCAACGAGCACCTAGACTCAGCCAGTCTGGGGAACAAGGGAACATGGAGAGGAGTAAGAGGAGATGTCACATCAGCTACTTTGTGCCTGCCCTTTCAAAATTAACCAGAGCTGGGAGGTCAGTAGAAGTAAGAAGCCTACCCAGCCAATGTCTATACCTGTCTACCTATTAACTGAACAGGAATTTATATTCTTGCCTTTGTCACCTGACTTCTCTACATAGTCACCAGATGTCAGAAGCAGCTAGGGACATTTCTACCAACATTTTCAGCCCCAAGTCCTTCCTCTTGCCATTTATTTGCTGTCTAGTTTTTTTTTTCCAGCCCCTCAATGCTATGAGACTTCTCCAGACTTCACCTAAGGACTCAATCCACCAAGGGACAGCTGCCGCTCACTGCCTTCTTTGGGAGGGAACCAAATTCCAGCCTTTTACCCCTATTGTGATGCGCCTTGTCAGCAGGAAGTAGCCAGAGAGAATCCTCGCCCTATCTCATGATTATTAAAAGGCTGGAATGTAAGGTCCGCTCCTGGATGGCGAGCAGACTCCACTAACTCTCTATCCCTCTTGCTGTTCTTTTCTAGCTCTCTCTCTCTCTGCTCTTTTCTAGCTCTCTGCTCTCACTGCTCAATTCTAGCTCTCTCTGCTACCTAGCTCTGTTCTTTTCTAGCTTTCTCTCTGCCTTTTTCTAGCTCTCTGCTCGCTCTCTCTGTGTTCTTTTCTTGCTCTCTCTGCTCTTTTCTAGCTCTTTTCTCTCTTTCCTCTCTTTTCCCAGCCACGTGGAGTGCCAACCTTGCTTGGTCCCAGCAGGTCTACCGAATAAACCTACCCCTTACCTGAATACCACGTGCGTGCTGGTGCTGTTCTTACTCGGCAACCTCTTTTTAAAAACCTAACAGTTATGAGAAATCTCTACCTTATGTGTTATGTATCTTGTTGTTTCTATTATGGTATGAGAAATAAAATGTAAACCCTGTTATTAATTCTGCTATGTAACACACTTTTGAGACAAGGGAATCCAAATGAATGATTAACTCTTAATTTCTTTTCTCAAATCCTTCAGCAATACAGAAAATATACTCCAGAAAATTATAATTTTGTGTGTTATATACTCAATAAATTTATGCATACTGAATTTCCATTTGTGCTCCATTTATCTAGGTTTGTCTATAAGATCCCTGATCACTATTACAAGAGTAAGACTTAGTCCGAGGAAAAATTGAGGCTGTGGGCCAGTCTGACAACGAAGAGACTCATCACACACACTGCTCTCCAAAACGCACTGTGCTTTTCCTGTGCCCTGAGCCTCACACAGAGCAACCGTACAGCCCAGGGAGAAGAGTGCCCCCCAGAGCAGGGAGAAGAGTGCCCCCCAGAGCAGCGCTGCCAGCAGGCCCCTGCCTGGTGCCAAGGGAACCCATTCTGACACGGCAATGACAGGGCTTGAGAAAGGGCTTTGCTTTTGCCAGTGTGTAAACACACAAACCCTGTCTTGCTGAGCGCCAGTGGCTCAGGCCTGTCTGTGATCCAGCTAGTCAGGAGGCTGGGATCTGAGGATCACGGATCAAAGCCAGCCTGGGCAGGAAAGTCTATGAGACTCTCATCTCCAATAAACCATCAGAAAACCGGAAGTGGCGCTGTGGCTCATCTTGATCTGAAGAGCTGAGGGACAGCGCCCAGGCCAGTTCAAGCCCCATGACCAACCAAAAAAAAAAAAAAAAGCCTGTCTTTTGGACAGAGGCATTTGCATCTCCAAGTCGGCAATGCACAGACACACTTCCCCCAAATCCACATCCTCACAAGTCTTAGGATTGACCTCATTTGAGAAGATGGTCTCCACAGAGTTATCTAAGGGTCTCAGGGTGTATGCCACTGACCAGCTGTAGTAGCTGTCAGCTCTTGCTGACAGTTATCCATGGATTGTCACCGTAGCACTTCCAATCATCTGAAGGCATACACAAAGAATTCCAACTCAACACACACTCCCAGCTGAAGCTATGCAAGGTGGCAAGCTGTGTTCTTATTCCTGCCCACACCACAAGCAAGCATTCATCCAGTCCATGGTTGATGTGTCTTTTTTATTTTTTTAACTTTTTGCACCTTTTGTGGATGATTTTGTTGTTTAAAATCAAGTGACAGATATTTACAAGTTGGAACATGTTTTCTCTCTGATAATAGGAGTTCTTACCTCAGAGCTGATGCAAAGAATTTAGCAAGTGTTCAGACACTCCCTACAGAGCAAAAAGCGAGTTGGTTAGACATGTGAGTGGATTCCAGAGCAATCACCAGGTGGACAGAGGCACCAAGTAGCGTTGTCAGTCCTTTGGAGTTAACCCAACTGGAGTCACCCAAGTGACCATCCAAACTCACGTCGCCTTCCTGTCCAACCACGGTAGAACTGCAGCACAGTTGTGCTAAGAGACCATGTCAGGGCCCACCCCGAGCCCTGACACCAGCAAAGGCAAGCCTGTGGACCGTCCTCAGTAGCTGCAGCTCAGCTCTGACTCCGTGGCAGAGCTGTGTGAAACACGATTTTACTGTTGCCATGTTTGAGAGGATCTTGGTGACAAGCCGGCCACTTTTCTTTCTCTCTCCTTTCTCCCTCCCTCCCTTTCTTTTTTAGTAGAGTGTTAAGAGAATAGAGAAACAAATCAACTGTAAGCTTTGGTAGCAAATTGTATTTAAATATACAGTAAAGCTCTGAATGAGCAGCAGAACAGACACACCTGCACTGAGGATCACCGTGCAGACCCCTCTGCGTACCCGCCTCCCACACCCGGGCACCCGCCCCTCCACCTCCGGGAGGCCTGTGCCCCGCCTCTCTCCCGCCCCGCAGCTCCTCTGCTCAGCACGCCGCGGTGCCTTTCCCGCGTCCCTTCTCCCCCTCCTCTTCCTCACTCCCAGGCGTGGCATCCCAGTCCTGGCAGGGCAGAGACTTCTTTTTCCTCCTTACTGGCTGTGTCAGCCCAGCCACCTGCTGCTGGTCCTGCAGCGGCGGCACCAACGCCACACCCCTGAGCCCCTTTTCCTTCCGCCGTTTGTACTCCATTACTTTCTTGTTGAGCGACTCATGATCAATCCCACACAGACATGAGTGCACAGCAGGTCCCCGGGAGTCATTTGGTGACAGGGCACCTGGATTCCTGCAAGAGAAGGAAGCCTTTACACCAAGCCAGAGCCAAGTTCCAGACCAGAGCGCTGCTGCCCGACACACATCACCCACATGTGCACACTCCTGACGCATCGGAGGGAGCCTGCAGACTGCTGTGCGAAGAAGGTTAATTCCAGCTTTGGTTCTCTGGGCCAGTGGGCAGCCAGTCGCACACCAAACTCCCTCATCCGAGCACAGCATCTAGACAGTCCCAGGCGGGCTCAGAGCCCTCACCAGCTCAAGGGTCCCGAGCACAATCCACTCTTGAGAACACCGCCTGAGCACAGCTATCGCCCTCCCACTCTCTGAACGCTGGCTCGAGGAGCTCTTGTAACCTTAGGTTGGTACCTGCTCCCTGCACTGGCGTGCCACGGGTCTGGGCGAAGCCAGGCTAGATGCAGTCCCAGGCTTTCTATTTGGCACCACCACACTGGTTGGATCTCAGATCTCCAAGTGGCCATGTGGGGTTGACAAGTGTCAGGGACAGATGCTGCTCTGCCCAGGGCATGCCACCCCGGGAGCAGGGTCCCCCACAAATACCTCACATATGCCTTAAGGTGCACCTGTACCCACTAACTCTCCGCCTCTTCCTGCCCAGCTCCTCCTACAGCACGCCAGTGGGATGCCACCACCGCCCTCCCCGCACAGCAAGGTCTATAACTAGAGGCCGCTGGCCTGCTGCAAACCCGTGGCAGAAGTACACCGAGTCATAGAAGACCAGACCGGAGGCCCACGGAGTAGCGGCTGTGTTACTGTGCTACATGGCCGCGGGCCACTGAGTGTGGACAGGTGCGAGCCCGGGGCAAGGCTTGCCAGTGGGAGCACAAAGCAAACAGCACCTTCCCATCTGGACATCTGCCGTGCGAAGTACACTGTGTCCACAGCCTCACCTCAAATCAGCCTGTGCCAAACCGTCCTTCTCATCTGGGGGTCCGAAGTCGGCGGCTGCCAGTAGCTCATCCACCTGAGGGGGAAGCACAGGCGTGAGCCACACCCCTGCTCCCGCGAGGGGCAGCAGCAGGCACAGGTCACAGCCTCCGCAGGGCCCAGCGCGGCTCTGGCCACCTGTGAAAGTGACCAGGCCAGGACGGGCCGCAGACCTTCTTGCAGCAGTGGTTCAAGTCCAGTTTATGCTTTCCCTCATCAGGACTATCCCAGAAGGCACCAAGGATGCATGTGGGACTTAATTTCCCAAGGACAGAAGGAACCAGAGACAGGCACTCTGAAGGGACAGTCCACCCTGCTGCCGCGGGTGGCTGTGAGGAGTGGTCTCAGGCCCCAGAGCTGAACTGCATGGAGGGCTTCTCCTTCTAGATGGGAAATCCCTCCCACCAGCTTGCCATTCCTTCCATTTTCAGAGCTACCTGTGCAAAGCCCAAGAGAAGACAAGTCAAATTAGATACTTTTCCTTGGTGCAGCTCTAGTGAGTCATAGTTACTTAGCTAGGATATTGCCAACATTATTTGGTGATTTTTGGCAAATACTTCAAGGTATAACATACTTTACTAACTATCAAGTTACTATGCATATAAAGGTTTTGAACTTATAAAAGTATCCAACTGCTGGTGCTGGTGGCTCACACCTGTAATCCTAGCTACTAGGGAGGCTGAGATCTGAGGATCATGGTTCAAACCCAGCCTGGGCAGGAAGGTCTGTGAGACTCTTATCTCCAATTAACAACCAGAAAAACGGAAGTGGCGCTGTGGCTCAAGTGGTAGAGCGCTAGCCTTGAGCTGAAGAGCTGAGGGACAGGGTCCAGGGCCAGAGTTCAAGCCCCACAACTGACCAAAAAAAAAGAAGTGTGAGACCACAGACAGACCACAGTACGAGATGTAGCTGAGAGGCAGGGGAGCACCGCTCCAGGTACATAACGTGAGAATCGACTTTCATTCACTGGTCATCTGTAAGGACAAACTCTTTTTTTTTTTTTTGGGTCCGGTCATGGGGCCTGAACTCTGGGCCTGGGCGCTGTCCCTCAGCTCTTCAGCTCAAG